TGGCTGGCAGCCGCAAGTCATTGCATAGGCCATATACACACTCAATACAACTCTGAAAGGAAGTCGAATGCGGGGCGCATTTATCTTTTTATCAATGATGAAGTGAGCTGATGGCAATTCTGGCAATCCTTTGTATTCAGTTTTTGATGAGTTATGTGATCTCAAAGTAAAATTTATCATGCAAAATTCCCATGAAACATATCACAAAGAAGTGGCTGGTAAAACAACGAACATAATTAAGCGATAACCAAAAAAAGGGGCAATTCGTCATGATAAAGCTAGGATTTGGCCCATGATCCCTCACCAGGGATTTTTGATATGCAAGTCTCTGCCTAATATGACATGTCATTCAAGCTACTTATCATAAAATTGTGGTCAAAGCAAAAAAGAAGGGAGCTCTTCAGATCTTCGTCTCATGCTCTGAACTGCTCGTCTCTGACGTTGCCGAACTGTGCGATTTCTTTGGCGAAGAGCTTTTGGAAGACGCGGTACTGGACGAAGAGGAGACGGATGAGGAAGAAACACTTGCTGATCGCTTTTTGCTGCCTGATACCTCTTCTTCGCTTTCGAAACTACCGCTACCGTACTCCTTGAAGTAAATATTATGTAGGTATGTAAACAATAGAGCAAAGAAGTTCTTATATTTGATCTCTCTCAATGTTATTTTCAAGGTAATGAGATGAGGCTTCATCTTTCGAAACTGTGCTTCCTGGTGGAGGGCTAAAATCGGTTTTTTTTATAAAGACGACGCAAAGTTTTGTTGCGCCACTTGCCAAAGCTAAAATAAGAAGAATAGATGACTGCGCCAGCCACAGTTCATGTGCACAGTCGACTGCCATTGTTACCCACCACTTTCACACATTCAAACAATGTCTAATAAACTACACCAGCCAAATACGGAATAGAACAGAAGTATTGGTTCATAGCTGTCATCAACTCCGTTCATGATTACTGCTTTATTCACAGGGCGAAGCGAATAGTACGCCTATGTGAGGAAATCTCGTACAACCCATTTTTTGCTACTTTTTCAAGGCTTTTATTTTATGGAATCCAACAATTTTTACGCCACCCAGCCCTATACTGCAACGTGGCTTCCGCTATTTCTCTTGAAAAAGATGAAATAAGTCATGGTAAACTGTGCCTTTGATTATGCACCCAAAATCACTGGGATACTTTGGATATTTAGGATGACAAAAAAGCTCACGTTTTCTCCCATTTCCGCATGATCTTTGGATTTTACTGAATAGGTGCCGCCGGAGACATCCGAATCGTGGCGTTCCTTTCGACCTGACGTACTCTTCTGAATGGCCATAAGTTAGCAACCGAAGTGTTCTTAAATCAAAGGGATCCCACCAAGGCCATACCTTGCCGACAGCAGCTAATCGTTCCTCATATTTCCTATTAAACTTCTGTTTTTGAGCAATAATCGACTGGCGTTCCATTATCAAAGGCCTTTCAATTACTCTAAATTGAGGAGTTTGAGGAATTCCACATTCTGTGATAGCAGTCAATCGAAATTTACAACATTAAGGAACCTTTGTTGCATTTCGGCTAAGAACGCTTCGTAATTCCTCGTTGTTTCTGCGAAACGCTTTCTGAAAAGGGAAAAGAATAGTGGTCGGGACCAGAAGAACTGAAAAGCATTTGCAGTAGGGAGCTGATCTGTAGCACCTGTTTCCTGGGCAACTCCACCTCCCACATGTTCCGTTTAGGGATCCTCACCTTCGGTTTCGCCCTTTAATGAACGACAAATCGCACCAGTGAGCCGCTATTGACGACAGCTCTAATGAACAATTCTATCCTATAATTCTATTCTATATTCCCACTCGCTAGGAGGTGGGAATCCGTGAAATTGTTGTCCTCTTCAAAAATGATACGGCATTCGGGAGAGTCGTCATTACCCTCTTTTTAGTTCTTAGCTCCGCACTTTGTATAGTCCGTCTCCGATCGTTCAAAGGGTGAAAGACCTGAGGGAGAAACTTATTAATGCGATGCTTGTACCTACGTCAGTCCTAAAAAGAGAATGCGTAGCTAGCTTGAGCGTGCAATATCTTTTTGAACGATCATATTTGAAGCCATTATTGGGCCGATTCGACAAAGTTCATTATGAACTATTTCCAACATATCATTTCGTTTCAGCACCTACATCACACACCTACATCAGCTGAACACCTACATCTTCTCAGCTGTTTTCTTCTCAATTTCGTCGTTGACATTTGGTAGTGAGCCCATTGAAGAAAGCAGTTTGATCCGACTGAGGTCCATTTCGTCCTTCCTATCCTCCCAGAACTTTTCTGATCGATGACGTTCTGCATCCAGCTCTTTCTGACGCTGCCTGAATCAATCTTACCAGTTGATTCGGAAATGAAAAGTCCATGGCTTTTATTCAGATACTTAAAACCGACGGCATATTCACTACTCATCCCGCTTCCCAATCTTAAAGTTACACCACCAAGAGTATCATGACTTCTTGAACCAGACGAATCTTAGTGTTAGCTATAAGATCATTGCTGATCAACACACCTTATGGCCTCCATTCTAATAGTTGACGAGTGCGTCTGCCGAACAGCGGCACCTCCTTTGGACACTTTCCTTGCATTCTGGGCTCGCCAACGGGGTGGTGAAGACGATTTGCACTGAAACTGCGTCTTGCTCCCTCCCTAAGGACTTAAGAAACACGAGTGAAAAGATGCGAGGAGACACAAAGGAAATAAGTTCCCCACCTGGCGATGACGATATGCTTTCGGATCAGTCAGATGAAATGGTTGGGGTACAGTCGTCGGTTTGTGAGGAGCGTTTTTGAGGGCATTTTCCATCTGTAAGTATTACGATAAATGAATAAATATATAAATAAAAAGCTCCTTCGTCATCATTGGAATTTGGCGAATGAAATGTAATGATAGATGTACCGAAATACTAGCAGGATGAATTGTCCCATCGATACACAAACCAGGAATTCATCTCTGCCGACAACTTCCTCTCAACATTATCCCAAAAAATTTTTCCACCTTACGATCAAAACGGTTTTGGCAAGAACACCAAAAACTCTATTAGGAAAGTACTGCATATCGGTAACTAACTGTGAAAAATAAACGAAAAAAGTAGAGTTTTTCTAGGATTTTCGAGAATAAAAAAGCTCTAGATATAAATGGAAGCTCATAGAAGTTCATCTACATAAGAAAGTTCCATAAGTTGCAAAAGTCCCATGCAAATTCCATTTTGTGGGCTTGCGAGGCTATTAAATCCATAATTGAATGTTTCGAATGCATTTGCAATGTTGATGGTGAAAAATGTCTTCCTCTACACTTGATATGGAAGCAAAACTCAATGTTCTGGACTTCTTGCCTCCAGAAATAGTTGGGTCGGTATCTTCTCCCCGAACACGGTGTCGCGCTCGTCGCACCCGCCGCGTATCGCAGAATTGCGATGGAAGATCGGGGCGCGCAATTTGTGAGTTAGGGAGTCCTTTAATTATTTGAATTTGCTGGCCACTTCCTTCAATCCAATGCTGTCTTGATCATCGATATTACAAAAGTTGTCATTTCAAACAACCAAGTCTAATACTGAACATAAAAACGAAGAAGAAAGAGAAAAACAATCAAACTCAATCAAAAAAGAAGGGCAGTCAATGAAAAATATTGTGTCCTATCGATTGGCGGGGAGGCGGGCCGAGTACGGTAATTGCAGTTTGGATCCGCGAGACCACTAATAAGGATTTGCCGCATGCCGCAAAGCGAACGCGGGAAATCGGGGAGAAGTTCCGTTACTCAGAAAATAAAAGTATTTCAGTTGGGAGCAATCAACAATGTTTCCTTCACAGCCGATAACACCAACGGCTAATGACCGCTGTATTTTCTTAAATTGCTTCATTTTCCTTTTTCTTGGTCAACTCAACTATTGAAAAATTCAAGTAGCTGCAAACCTCTGCGTGCATCCGTTGGAAATCCGGTATCGGTGGTCGTGGATAATATTCGGTTTGATCATCTAGGCAATGCAGATGTCGAACTTTTGCTGACACATGCGTACGAATAGTGTGCTCCTATAGAAATAAAGTGTATTGAGGCATAGTGTGAAAGGGAAACGCTTTCATACATCAAAAATCCAAGTTTCACCTATCCCTGGTGAAACTTGGGTTTTCAAAATCAAACAAGAGGGCCGGAAATCAAATTAATCTGAGGTTTCCTTTGGAGAGCCTAATTGAAAATGAAAAGATGCAGAACAATTTCTACTTGCAGGTTTTTAGGCTACCACGAGCTGGCAAAACCTCATACATATTCCGGTGCATCAAGCACAGCAACCAAGAACGGCTATGTGGGCCTCCCATTTTGACACCCGAGACAAGAAGCTTCTATTCTTTTTCCGGTTTTCTTCGGGCCCCTTGTTCTCTCATTGAGCTCGGCTCTTCGAGTGTGTTCAAATATAATGTATTTTTAAGAACTACATTAGGCTAAAAACATATTTTCAACGCGATCTGGAGCAGATTTGAGTGCAAAAAACTTCTCATCTTGGAACTGGTGGTCACTAAATAGAGATACCTACTGACCTGCCCCTAATTATACCTAATTATAGGTATCACATACTCAACGTGAGCCTCATATTGGCAAAACAAATACTGCTGAGATATGAAGAAGTTCAGGATAATATGAGACTGGTCAGACATTATTATCCAAGCACTTTCTTAGACTTTACTGAGTTGTTTGAGTTGCATGGATATGGATAATTACCAATACGAGTTTTTTATTCCTTTCAATTTGCCTCATGCATACCTGGTACACATCTGAAGCTATGATACTTGAGACAGAGTAGACAGTCTATAAAGCGATAAGAGGTAGCGATAAGAGCGACCTCAAAGTCATCGTGAACTCTTAAAGGCACAGTTCACGATGACTTTGAGGTACCATTTTTTATTCGAGAAGCGGAAGTATAAATTGGGAGTAGTTCGTCGGCAGTGAAAAAGCGAGAGAGTTCGCCGATTCCAAGAAAAATATGGCTACTCGAAAGTAGGGAAAATAGAGATTCGACGAGATTGCCATGACGGAAATAACATGGGAGGGGCATTTGGACGAGATTTCAGTTGTTGCAATTGTACAGAGAGCTGAGTACATAAAGCCAGAACTGCAGAGAACTGCCTACCACTGTCGCTGTGGGTCATGACAAGTTGTTCCTACATAGGATCCCTTGTGATCGGTGCAACCTTTACAATGCCTGTGAAACTCGTCCGAGGTTACACAAAGGGCCAATATTTGAGTCTTCATAGCTCCCTAACTATGCCGTCTTCCGACCTAATAATGCCAGATATGTATATGCAGGAGCCTCAAATTCATCCTGTGAAGGAATCTCAGATAACATTTTCATCGTTAACTGTGCCTTTTAACATGACACTTTCAAAACAATTTGCGCGCTCAAATAGAAAATGATTTCTGATGAAAGCTCTACTTCGAGATGATGAAAACGAAGGTTATGAAGTATACAAGTATTACCCTTAGAAAAGGCGGCGTTGTTGCTTCTACAAGAAGCTGCACAGCTCGGCGATGAGTGCTTCGGGAACGACGGTAATCGGTGTTAACTGGCGCCACATACGTCGTAATCGGCACAGGTCGAACTGAAAGCCACAACTAACCATTTTATTATTTCAAAATATACTGAAAGTACTGAATGAATGCTGGAGCTTGAGAACAATCACTCAATCACGAAATATTGTGATTTCTTGACTAATGAACCTTTGGAAAGAGAAAAATTGAAACAACCAGCAATCACAAGAGGGCATCAAACTTACCAGTTAGATCACCCATACTCTTCGATCGTCTAGAGAGAGCTTCTTGCTCGAAGTGCTTACGCATAACCGCAGTAAGTCGTCTTCGAATAGCCTGAATTTAGCCGTTACCAAAACAGTTCAACTGCGATCCTTGGCATAGGTGATGATATACCTCCACGTAGGCCTTATCGGATACCAGTGGATTGGTCGAGACGTAGGTCGATTTTGGAACAGCTTGAGCAGTGAACCTGAAAAAAGGCTGTAGTTCTCCTGTCGATCGATTCCAGAAACATTGTTAGGCTGAACCTACGGCTTTGCCTTGTGTCCTTTATTTTCTTCTTCCTCCTCCTCCTCTTTTCTTTTCGATATCATTTCATCAACAAACTTTTTGGAGTACCTATTTATGATCGGTTTTCTGAAATCCAAGACTTGAAAATGATATATTAATGAATACCAAAGGTAGAACATTTGCTTTCAAGTTTTCCCTCCAGCGGACAGACTTTACTTAGAATAGAAAACAACTAGTTCCAATAAAGATACGGTCAGAGTTCGTTGGCATATGGAAGTTAGGAAGGAACTGCGGTATTTTGAATTCAAAAATCTATGTAGAAAAACATCAAAACTTCAGCTTTGACAAGCTTGACAAAGCACTCGTGTTTTTGCAAAAGCTCTAATAATCTGTTCGCCAAAAAGGGATGACATGTACTCCCAAGCATAAGCCCCTAGTTGTTCCTTTATGTAACAGCGACAGATGGAAGCGTTCCGCAGGGAGATTATGCACGAAGCAGGTGATGTGAATGGTTGGCGTTAATTAGTATGTGCAAAGGGGAACTGATTCGATTTCCTCTGGCGAAGCAGAGCATGGAAACAAAACTTGTCGAGAACGTGAAGGACAGCAATGCCCGCAAACCTTGTACTGAATTTGAAAGGCACAGGAACGGTGATCTGTGGGACGAAGTTCTGAATTGGCTCAGGAACCACGTCACGTTTTGTTGTTGATGGATGTGGATCAGGTTTTTTCGACTCCCGTATTCCTTTGGCAGACTTTGGACGAGGTGGCCTCGGTTTGAATGCTATAGGTTCGCCTCCTAAAAGCATGAAACGATGGCATGAGAAAAGATATAGAAGACTTCATATTAGAACTTTAGGGGTAGTGGGGATGCACAATGGACTAGTGAGTGCTGACGGTGAGAAAGCATCCCACGGGCCCCGAAAGAGAAACCGCTAAACATTCCGAAAGCCAAGCCCTCATTTTCTCCCAGACAAACCAACGCGAGGGAATTCTTTTCAGGTTATATCACTAGATATGCATGCCTGATATTGGCACCATGCAGTACCCCCGAAACTCCTCGCTCAGCAAAGATATTGGGGTAACTTCTCCTGCGACGGACCAGGATTTGTCTGCCAACTTCTAACCATTTAGTTCAAAACTCCTAGTCATGAGTGACGGTTTTGGTTATGGTGTTTTTTTAATTTTAACATCGATATTACCTTGATCCTTGACTTTTTCGGCTCTAGCTCCGTCACGGTCATCTTTCATGACAGCTTTTTCCATATTTGGTTTGCTTTCCGTGAACTCTACCCTTTTAGAAGAATCGTCTTTGATCTTTTCCTTGATCGTGACTCGGCCATTTCTTTTTGAGGATGTTTCCCGATTTGGACCGCCTTCTTTATCTCTTTTCCTGGTCGCTTTCTCTACAACATCGTCGTTTGGCCTTTCTTTAGAGTCAGGTTCTTCTCGAACATGATCGGTAGCGCGATCACCGTTTGCTGGAGATTCCTCTTTGGAGCGGCCTTCTTCCGCTGCTTCGGTTGGCTCTTCCCTGAATGCCATGATAAGAAGAAATGTAAGAAAGTCAAGTAATAAAACACGATAATCTGAAAAATTAAAATTTCGAATTTGAATTGAATTGAATTTGAATTTTTCTTGATAGCTATATTATATCATATATTCGACCTGTATGTTTTGAGTCCACTCTGACAACTACTTGAAGGAACTGGGAAAGAATTAGCCAGGGGAAGAGGCGGGAGGGGAAGGAAACTGTGATGATAACAAATCCAGAGACTGACTGATACAGCAGAGTAAGCTGAAGCCATTTTGAGGGACCATTGAAGGTACACCCTATGCTTGAAAAGTCTTGAATTTCAAAGGGCGAGTATCAACATGAATTATTGTTGGCGAACTCTTTTTCCTCCTTTTCAAGTACACAAGTGAATATCAATTAGCGAGTATAATGCAACTACTACTGGCTGCATCTACAAAATGCACTTACCTTACTACAAATAAGCTCATTAGCAGGTATTTCTATCGTCTACAATAGAAAATAGGCAATAAAATGCACTGTGGCTCCAGAGGCAAGGCAAAAACTTGGAACAAACTTCAACGGGATCGAACTACACAAATCAAGTTTCAAGCAAGTGTCTCGAAGCTGAACCTCCCGTTGACGAAGTTTTGGAACATCTTTCGCTTAACCGTTAAAAAGTCTCCTACGCCCTAAAGCATGAATTTTCAACAACACTTCCAGAGGGTCATCAACGAAAACTACCCAGTGATATTACTACACTTTAACACTTCCCCAATATAGGACCCTGTGTGGGAAATGGTTAGCACTAGAACGAAGAAAATTTTTGAGAGTGGCTGCCACATCATCTTGTCAGTACTTATCCACCTATCCACCTAGGAAAACCAGAGTTGCTCCGTGAGATTTCTCAGAGACCATTTTGGCTAGATTGATGCACCCAAAACCATGATCCACTCCCTGCTCTGGTCTATCGAAGGTAGTACCAGCATAGCGGAGAGGATGAATGGCAGAAAAATGGCAGCGTCGGGTGCCTTAGCGACGATACTTAATGGTGGGGTTCCAAGGCTATTCCTATCATTCGCGTGGATGGCGAACATTGGTAGCAATTCGACCAATATATTGTTTATAACAGCCAAAGAATCGGTCATTTATGAAAGATCCAAAACGGTTCAATTTGGCATCTGCTTTTGAATAATTGGAATAATATGAAAAGGGTCGATGCAACGAATACTAATCCTTACCTGCTCTCATCAACTTGCTCAAGAATCTTTTCTTTTTCCCGATTTTGGGCTCGCTCCTTCCTCTTTTTCAATTTGACTTTCGTGGACAAATGTAGCATGTCAGCTGCATCTTGTACAGTCGGTCGTGCAGGTAGACTGGCAACCCGCTCTCTGAGACGGGGTGGAATTGTAGGCTCGCTAAGGCGCGGATGTGCTGAATGTGCTTTTGAGCGCTGACGGGTTGCAGATGCACTCTGGCGTCGATTAGCAGAGCTATCTTCTTGGCTCCTACTTTTCGGAGAATTCCGGAGGGAGTCTTCAGAAAAATGATCACTCAAATACTCTGGGGGGAGATCACCCAGTGAGTGCTCCATTGAGCGCTGGAGGGCAGCAGATGCAGCGGAACTCGAGTAAAGCGGCACCTTATTTTTCATTTGTCTAGTAGATACAGCTGAGGAGTATTGGTCATGTGATGTTCCGCTGGGACCCTGCTGCGCAGGGTCATCTGCTGGAAGGCGAGCCTGCAAATACTCTGGAGGTAAAGCCCGGGACACATATTCTTCTCTACGAGGATGTTTCGCGTATTCCGTAGGTCGTTTGAAGAAATATTCGCTTGACCGAGAATCCTGCTGGACTTTGGATGCGAGATTATTCACTTTCGGAACTACTGGACGATTTTGGACTGAATATTCGGTCAATGGATGATCCCGTGGATATACGGTGGGAAAAGAATCAGCCACGAATTCACTTCGAATGTGCTGAACCGAGGTTTCTGTAAGACGCTGATCGACCGAGAACTCTCTGGAGCGGTAGTCGCCTACGAATTCACCCGAACTGCGATACACCGAATACTCGCTTGGTCGTGGAGGACCGGGGTAGTCAGTTTGAAGCTGATCATCCATTGTCTGTCGTGGATAGTGCTCTTCCATGTATCCACGCGGCCGGTGATGTATTGTGTACTCACTTGGGCGATGATGTATGGTGTACTCGCTTGGACGATGATGAATGACGAATTCACCTTGACGAGATAGAGCATTATAGTCGTTTGGACAGGAATCGGTTCCTCGTTCACTCGGGCAATGATGAACTGCCCATTGGCGACAGGTCGTGTGGGGAACTGAGTGGTAGCGGGATTCCTCTTCCCAAAGACGGGTCAGATACTCAGTTGTCTCCCTATGCTTTGTGCGCAAATCCGTGATTCGATCCGCCAGCGAAGAATCACCAAGCGTTGAACGGTCCTGAAATTCACACATGATTAGCGACGCGGTGTCGATTACGGTAGATAAAGAAACTAGGCAGGAGACAGAGTCAGTCAACAAATGCAGTCCAACTCGCACGACTGGTAATGAAGGGCGTTCGTGCTCTAAACTAATAAGTGCTAAGGTATATCGACATTACCAGTGACCACTTCACACCTCCTGACCCAGTAAGAAAAACTAACTGAAACACTTAGGATATCCCTTTGAATATACACACAACCAGCACTTCCAGGAACCATATGGAAGGACGAGAAAAATGAAATAGGGGATCGAGCTGTTCTGTCTTTTTTTAACCAAAATCTAAGCATTTTGTGTACCCCGAGGGTTCAATTGTTAGAATAAAAAGGAAACCAGGAGTTACCTCCTGTAGGGCTTTAAGTAGCCTTTCAGTCGCCTGTAAGGTTTGATCAACCGCATCCATCCTACGAGCGATCACGACGTCTTCACATTTATCGATTCATCTTCATTGAAGGATTTCTGAAAAGAGCATAAGTACTGATGAGAGCTCTGTAAAAAGAAGCCAAGCTGGTAAAAACGATGGGCTTCAGAACAGTGGCTCAGGTCGAAAGCAGAGTTGAGCAATAGACTGCACACCAGTGCCAGCTATGGTATGCAGTCTCATTGTCAGCTTGTAAAGATCAGCTCCACTTTTCACTTTTCAAGAGATTTTTCTTGCCCAGAAACAAATGGAAACTCCCGAAGTAGTCGGTAAGGATACAACAACAATTTTTGACGCCGGTGCATCTTACAACCGGGAGCAAAACCCGGCCAATAACAGTACTACGCGATGAATAGGAACTGCATTTTCTACAGTTTACGACACTTTCTATATACCTACAAATATTGCATCACAGAACAACTCACATGCCCTATTTCGGATAAGTTCTCGGAGCGGTGCTCTTCAAAAGGTGCTGTAACTGGGATCTCAAAATTGTTATTCGATTCCAATTCGATTTTGTAAT